ACAAACAAAAAAATTAATTTATTTATAAATTTTATAAAGTGCCTTGTTAAATTTAACAAATATAGTTTTTCGCCATAACTATCAAAAATTGGTTAAACAAGCTATCAATATAAAACAGTCATTGCAGCATAATCTTTTTTTATTTAAATTTTTATTATATCTAGACACTGGCGTAGGAAGGTCTATAAATTTTTGGTGGCTGAAATTAAGGCATTATGCATATATTTTAAATATATGCATAATGTCTTAATTTCGTTTTCAGCCACATGTCTGTTTCTGTTTCTGTTTCAGCCTAATCCATAATTTTTTAATCATTTTTTATAAATTAAATTAAATCAATTTTTATAAATATTATTTAAATTTATAAAAAATGATTTAAAAATAATGCATTAGGCTTTTCTTAAAATTGCAAAAAAAAATGTTAAAAAATGTAAGTTTCATAATTACCATTGAAAATGTTTCTTATCATAAAGACTGTAAAGTTTTTTTTCATGCCCCATGAAATTTAATTCACTATCTAAAACATTTGTGATCAAAGCTGTTAATACTCTCCTTGTCATATCTTTAATGTTGGCACCACCAATGACACCAAGATAACTAACGTAAATAAATAAATTTACTTTGAGCAACATTCAGCAATTTTATAAATATAAAAAAATATGTATATTTTTAAGTTGTATAACCATGTTTAATAAAACTTTAATTAAACATCTCTTTATCCGGATTTCGGCCCCACCCGGATTTCGCTTACCACAAAAAAAAAACAGAAAAACTGAAATTAGGTACCTAAAGTTGTCCACTAATTTGACTAATTGTTTATAACTAATTTTCGTTGAAATTTGGCAAATTAATAAAAAATGCATGAAGCAAACAATTTTAGTAATAAAAAAAGTGGACTCAACATTTCTTCAACTACAAATCCATGTGACAACATCAACCAAATTTTCATGCGAGATTCTTAGCAAAATAATCCATAAAAAAAGTATGGTAGCGATATACAATAGTTCTATAAAAATCAAGCCTAACCTTTCTTCTTTTCAAAAGGAGTCAAGGTTTATATATGAGTTTTTAAAAAGAACCACCTTAAAAAACCGTTTGCCTAGGGCTACCTGAAAAAAATGATATACTTGGTATAACACTAATTAAACTAATTGCTTGTTATTATTATTCGAATATGCATAGAAAATGCATGAAGCAAACTATTTTAATAATAAAAATAGCGGACTAGCTTTTCTTCTTTCCAAAAAGTATCTATGCGTATATAATTTTATAGAAAAAAACTCCACAAAACTACGTCGGCCTCACGCTACCTAAAAAAGAGTTTAAAAAACGATTCGTAAATCGCGATTAAAAAAGTAAATAATATTCATACCAACATTTGCTGCATTACAGTTCCAGAAGATACTTTTCTTAGTGTAGCTTCCGAAATTTGTATTTGCTGCCATGATTCCATTATCAAAATAACTCCATCCGCCAAACTTTTTTTCATATTTGTATTTGTATTTAAAAGCAAAAACAAATACAAGACTTGTAAGTTAAAAAAATAAAATCATGAACCAAAAAAAGACAATATTTTATAATTTTTTATTTTTGTTTTTTCAATAATTTATAACTTTTTATTTTTGTTTTATATAACAAAAATAAATAACAGTTAATTATAATAATAATTTTTAAATATTTAATAAATAATTATAATAAAAATAAATAACAGTTAATTATACAGTTAAGGGCTCGTCCATAAAATACGTCACGCTATAGGGGGGGGGGGGGGGAAGAGGGTTTGGTGATTTTGTGACGGCTCATACAAAACTTGATTCTTAAGTATTACAATTTTGTGACGAGGGGGGGGAGGTCAAAATTGGTTAAAAATTGCATGACGTAATTTATGGACGACCCCTAAACAGTAAATAAGTTATATAAACAAAAAATAATAAATACCAATACTTATAACAAAAACTTCTAACCAATACGCTTTTGTAATTTTGTTTTGGATTTAATAATTTATAGTAACTATAAATAAATAAATAAAAACATATTAACAAAAGCGTATTGGTTAGGGATTTTTATATAATAATTAAAATAATGAAACTTAAGATTTGTTTGTATTGACTATTTTAACTTAAATAAATCTTTTGTCCACTTCTTCGCGTGATACAAACTGTTTCTTTTCTCGTAAAACCACTTCTTTTTGCGATGCAAATTGTTTCAATGATATTAAAACCACTTTTTCTCGTGGTACAATCTGTTTCAATATATTAATACTTTTATCACTAGTTTTCATAAAAAACAGTTTGTTTTCAAAAGTACGTGATATTTAAACAAATTACCATAGCGTGGTTAGAAAAGAAAAAGACCTATAAAATTATAAACAATTGTTTTGTAAATCAAGTAAAAGATTTTCAACAAATGCAAGCAAAACTATTGAGCGTGGTTCACTTCCATATCTGATACTTACAATGCTTAACCATAATAAAAAAATGTATCAAAAACAACGCAAAAAAAAAAAAAAAAAAAAAACGTAAACCTAATAATAATAAACAAAATAGTTCACTTCCATTTTTTATACTCATAATGCTTAAACGTAAAAAAAAAATTTTTTTAAAAAAAGTAAAAAAAAAACGTAAAAAAAAGCCAACTAGAAAAAAGTATATGTAAACGTAAAAAAAACATAAAAAAATATATATAACAAATTAAGTATTTTGTTCAAAAGTTTGCCAAGAATTTTTTCTTTTACAGCTTTGTCTAAAAATGCAGCATTTTTTTAACCAAATATTTACTCTAGCCAGAAAAACATCTTTAATTTACGAAACTTGTAAATGTTATACGTACGGCAAAATAAAAGAATAAAAAAATTATATACTATTTTTAAATATCTTAAAATACTATTTTTAAATATTTTAATTGTTATGCATCACGGCGATCTTTCGTATATTGGTTTTCCTAATATCAATGGATCTGGAAATTACCGAATAGTGAAATAATTCAATGTAGCCTATTTAAAATGATATATACATGTCTAATTCACTTTAAATTTTAAATAAAAACTTGCGCCTTACAAAGTCAGAGTATTGTTCGTTTCTTTGAGAAAAAAAAATTGGTGTTTAGGCCAAACCCTGCTAATAAAATTCATTTTTAAGATGATCGAAGTTCGGGGGCAGATCATCGACGTTCGGGGGCATTTAAAAATACACACAGACGTTCAATATATTTTGATTTTTTTTTTTATTATTATTTAAAAATTTAACACCT